TTCTCTTCTCGTTCTTCCTGTTTCTTTTCTTTTCCTCAAACAACTGTTGTAATTTTCTTCTTGTTTAATTTCTCGTTCTTCTTGTTTCTTTTCCTTTAACAACTGTGTAATTTCTCTTCTCGTTCTTCTGTTTTTTTCTGTTCTTGTATTGCTGCCATTAAGTCTGCTAGGCTGTAGTTTGATTTTCCGCCTCTCGTTTCCATCTTCTTCTTTTTTTTTCTGCCCCACTCTCTGACACCAATTTGTTACGTCTCCGATCGTTAATTGATTTTCCGTAAATTCGTTCCGACGAAACTTTAGCGACACAAGTCCTTTCTTAAATAAAACTGGTTTATTCTTTCTGAATACAACTTTACGATGCACTCAACTTTAACAGTCGCTCTGTAACAAATGCTATAATTCTCACGTGCTTGTGCTCGACAATACTCAGTTCAATTACTCACTACTACACATTGTCATGTCACGTTGTGACCATCTTATATATATATACCAGCCTATCCCCAATCTAGTAATCTCCCGACAATTCACGAAGGTTCGAAAAAGAAGTGGCGTGATACTAGTCACGTACCCTCGCTGACGCAACAATATAATAATACTTTTCAAGTTGTAGGTACTTCACTGAAAATTTATGAATCTACTAATGAAATGTTTTGTTTTTCAATATACGTTATCATATATAAAGCACTCAAACGTAAAGTACTGCCGTGTTTTTAAAGCTAGTTTATATATATATATATATATATATGCTATATTTCTACAAAATCAATTAAATGATGATTCACATTTATGAATATGAACCTGTGAATTAATTACTTAGGCTCGGTGGTTTGATGTAAAATTCGTGTTATCAGTGGGAAAATTTGTATCGTTAGGAAGTCGATGTTCACATAAAACTGAATAATCAAGACAAAAACACTTAGGCAATTATTTGGCAAAATTATTTCAAATTGTCAAAACCGTTATTATTAAAAAGTGCTTCTACGTTCATTACGATTTAAGAACGTCATTTTCTTACTTTAAACTATTAAACAAATTTACCGTAAAAATGGAAAATAGGATGAAGAAATTACACAATATGCCATTTGTGATCATAGTGCACTTGCTCAGAGTATTTTTTCTTTTTCTTACTATTATGAAAAAATATAACTAACTACGTGAAAACAAATCATGACAGAATTTGATTTTTAAATGTATAATGGAATATTTCTTAATACATTTTGTCAATAGTGCAAGAGTAGTTATTAGTTGCTACGTGGAATAACATGTATAAAAACTAAGAGTTAAGCTAAGATTAACCGTAACTGTTCATTTTGGAAACTACCAAGTTCGCTACTGATTCTGCCTTCTGGGCCATCTATAACAGATGGGTGTAGTATTCACATATCATCGTTAGTTTAATGGCAAAGCCAGAACAAACTGGACTTATCAAGATATCGAAAACACTGTAAAATGCCATTATAACAATTAAATGTTAAGTTTTATCTCGAATGAAATCTTAGACCATCACCATATAAAACTAAAATTGGCAACTAAATTATTAACGGAAATATTGTGTAGTATAATTCTAAAAGATGCACCACTAATAAGCATGACGTTAAGGCGTGGAGTATACGATATCTAGTATACATATATTATTCTTTAAAGCATAGATCTTTTCACGTTCTGGAGGGAACTAGGTTAAAATACCAGAACTAACGGCTAAAAATAAATGTAAAGGTAAAAACTATGACAGTTATAAAACACTAGTTGCCAATTATTTTATATCCTACATTGCGGCCATTAATCTACTGACATTTTCAGGGGAGTCATGGAAAAATTATGTAGGGGGGTCTGGAGTGAGTTTTAGATATTTTGTTAGAAAAGCAACCACACTATCTACTCGTTCTAGACTCGAGAAACGGCACATCTGCCTTTCTTAACAAGATCCAAAATGAAATCCAAGCCATTCTTAGACACCCCCCCCCCTTAAAGTAGCAGCCCAAACAAAATTTGAACTTAAATATTATTTATTAATTATTTTTAGATTTGGGTAATCGCAATGGCAACTAACTATGAGCGATCTAATTTATATTAG